CATATGGAAGATGAAAGCTCCTCTACAAGCTTACTGATTGATGGATAGAAATAACTGGAGTACAAGTGAAGTGGTGCCCTCTTTGCCTTCCTCCCCTCCCCAGGGCCTTCATTGCCACTGTCCTGTTAGAGTACCATTAGCTTCTAATGTTAGAATAGGCTCTTGATGGCTGAGGACCAAGTTTTTTTGTTTGTTTGTTTTAGTTCTCTTCCACTTCCTTCTTTCTGCCTTGCTGTAGAGTCTGAGTAGATCAGTTAAGATCTTCATGCCTATAGAAATGGCAGACAGAATCTCAAATTTTAAAGGACCACTAGGACACTGATAATCTCTTCTAGTTCCAAGTAGGGTAGGGCCTAAGCTGTTTCAGCAAAGTTCTTGTTCTCAAAATCCCCAGGCAGTCTTAAGTGTCTTGCAGAGATATGAAGTTATTTCTAATATCTAATCTAAATCTCTGTCTGCCACTCAAGTCTGTTCCCTTTATCACAACCCTAAGTGAAAACAGGAACTAGGGCTTTCTTTGCTGAAAACTGTGTCCACACCATATAACTGTTTTTAAAAACATGTATTCCCAGCTTATCTTCTTTACAAGTTAAAGACATGGTGTTGTGTTTTATATCTGGTCTCTGTTTGAAAGTAAATGACTATCTACAGTACTGGCTATAAGGAAGTAAGCTCTTCTTGAAACATACAGAAAATAGAGATAAATTTTGTCACATTTGCTTTAAATATTTTCTTTTAAAATTTGAAATATTATAGATAGAGGTGAATGATGCCTTTGTACCATTGCCTGTTTTCCCTTCCAAAGAGTAATGACTATTCTGAAGTCAGGGACATTTTTTTTCCTGGCAAGTTTAAAAATAATATATATGTATATTCACAGAAATATACATAATGAACATATCTCATATACACATATATATCATATACATGTTTATGTCATGGGATATCTACATAAATTCCATATACAATATGCACCATTTTTAAGTGTTCATATTCTTTATGTAAATCATACCACAGTTTATGTATCACTCTGGAACTTTCTTATACTTAAGACAGTATGCTTTTAAGATTTCTCTTATGGATCTACAGTAACGTGTTACTTAACAACAAGGACGCATTCTGAGAAATGCATCATTAGGTGATTTTATCGTTGCATGATTATCGTAGACTGTACTTACACAAACCCAAATAGTGTAGCCTACTACATACCTAGGCCGTATGCTGTAGCCTATTGCTCTTAGGCTACAAATCTGAACAGCATGTTACTGTACTGAATACTGTAGGCAATTGAAACACAATGGTCTTTGTGTATCTAAACATATCAAACATAGAAAAGGTCCAGTAGAAATACAATATTATATTCTTCAGGCCTGCTGTCATATATGCAGTTTGTTGTTGATGAAATGTCATCACGTAGTACATGACTGTATTAAAAAACTTGAACCCATCTTATGGTAAATCTAAGAACTTTCTGCACAGAAAAAAATATCTAAAACCAGAATCTAGTTGAAAATGAATTTTGAGTTTTGAAAGGGCAATTTAACAGTTTGGAAAAGTACCAGTGCTTATACACTCGTAAAGTCATGCTGCTTTCAAACATTTTAAGAAACTCTCAAAATATTTTGAGACACGGTTGTAAAGTTTTCACTGTTTTTCTAAAAATAAATATATCTAAAGATTGGTCTGGAGATAATGAACCAAAATCTATTAGTAAATTTACTAATTAGGGTCATGTCTATGTGTTTATGGAAACATTAAACATTTGTTTATTTGAAGTAAAATCTCTTTAGCCAACTACCATAAATATTGGCTGCCTGTCAGAAATGATGTACCCGAATTTCACATGTTTTACATTTCCTCATGGTAACCCAGCCCACACAATATTTTTACATAATGACAGCTGTCAGGAAAGCAGAATATCTTATATATACATTGTATTTTGATTAATGAGCTAATGGTGGTTCTCTGTTTAAAGTAATTAGCCCCAATGTGGTTTTTAACCAAAGTGTGCTCAGGGTTGACAATGATGTGATTATGTTATCGGGTTAGCGTATAGCCAAAATGATCACATTGCCTATAGCAATGCTTTCTGAAGTGTCATTACTAGGTTATAAAATCAATTTAATAGATTGTATTAGGGTTGAATAAAGAAAAGAAACCTAATAGATTAGAATAATACCAAAGATATTAGCATACATTGAGCACAACATAGTGTGTAGGTTTATGAAACCTTTGTTTTAATAATGTGTGTATCTTTTGTGTGACTGCAAAGTCATCCTAAAAATGTATTTCTGACTGTGGATTACAGTAAAAACATTTTGAGAAACCCCAGGCTTCTTTCGGGTTTTTTATTGCAACTGAAGTTGTTCTAGATTTGGCCCTTGGCTGCATAATGATTGAAGTTGTTCTCCTATACACACATATGCTTTCTTACCACCCCTTGGCCAGCCTGTTGGTGGAGCCCATTTCATCCCTGTCAATGGCATGTGAGGTCCTCACTTCTCCTGCCTTACCTCTTATTGCTCTTTCCCTCTTTTTTTCAGTTCGCAGCCTCCTTTGCTGTCCTTGAATGTGCCATGCAGGCTGCAGCTACAATGCCTTTCCACTGGCTGTTCCCTCTGCCTGGAACACTCTTCACTCTGGTATTCACACACCTAACTCCTTTTCTTCCTTCAAGTCTTTGCTCAAATGTTAGCTTCTTTATGAAGTCCACTGTGACCACTTTATTTAAAACAGCGGCCCTCCTCTTTTTTCTCACAGACCTCCTTTTTCTGCTGTATTTCTTTCCTCCACAGCACCAGCCACCTTCTATCACATTGCAGAATGTATTTATTATGTGTATTGTTTGTCTGTCTCCCTCTACTAGATATAAACTCCAGGAGGGTAGGTATTTTAATATGTTTTATTTATGGATGTAATTCAAGCAACTGGAACAGTGTCTGGCACAAAGTAGGTATCAATAAATATTGATGAGCTAATTCAGATTGGTCCAAATCATGAGAGAGAGAAAAAAAGAGACTGGCCAAGCATCAAATACAAATTTATAGGAGATTCTAGTGCATTCTTACGTTATGTCCTGTCTTTTATGAAAAACTTCTAACTCTCATTTGAAGTAGCTATTCTTTTTACATTTCCTCCTTATAGGGCCCATTCCCATCTGGCTCTACAAGATATTAGAGCAACAGCTTCTACTGACTTCTAGGAATTCATCCCAGAAGAGTGTATTGAAAGTTTAAAAAAAAAAAAAAAAAAAAAGGAGTCTCTTTACAATTTATAGTCTTAATATAGCAAATCTAGGCAAAATCATCAAAACGTGTGCTTCTGCTGAACTTATTTATCCAACATGGAAAATGAAATAGTAAAAAAAGATCAGAAAATAAATCTCGGGGATAGTTGGTTTACAACATAAAACTAAGGAACAAAAGTAACAGGATCAGTGCAATGGGCCCAGAGGTTCCCCCGCCCCTGCTGGAGTTACCACATTTAGTGAATAAACTAAACTGTGGAGTTGGCGTTGCTGCTGAGGCAGGAGTGTTACATACTTGGGCCATCTCATTATTTCCTGCCTGAAAATTTCCAGCATACCCAGAACGACAGGCTGCTATTTGCACCTAATGAAGTCAACAATGCCTTTGTGTACTGACTCCAAAAATGATAGCTTGATCTGGACATTGCTATATGAAGCATACGTAAAGTAGCTTCTGTTTTTCAAGAGTTTATTATTAAATAAATCATTCCTGGAAAAAATGGTAGAAAATCACTTCTGAGTTGTACATGGTTACCACAGTAATGTCATTTGGATGTTTGCTCAGAGAAGACACATCTGATGTTAGAAATAAGAAACAGAGGCAACTTCAAATACACTGACATCATAAAATAGCAAGTAAACAAACAGAAAATGCTCAAAAGCTCAGCAAGGGATGTCTAAAGATTTGGCCACTCCTTTTAATCATTGTCCTAACCTCTACTGTTCAGATAATGTAAAAAACAAAAAAGTATTTTTTTCTTCTATCCCCAAATTTATACCTTCTTTGTCCCAGTCTATACTTACGGTCTGAGCAATTTGAACATCAATTCAGCAATAAAGCTCCTTTTAACTCAGTGTTTAACTCTGAAACCAGAAATGTTACGCCATAGCTTGTTCATACTTCTTAATTTTTAAAATCTTAATCCACATTTTAATTAGATAGCAATGTCTGGAGAGTGCCCATCCACAAGCAGGTGACAAGGAGTCTGTTTCATTATAGGCTTGCCACTTTTTTGTCAATTTAGTTACAATTTAATCAATTACTGCCATTGCTATGGAAATTACTACAGAACGAATATTGTAGTCCTTAAGTACAGAGCAATCCTTTTACATTTTAACTCAAAATTAATCCTACAGAATGAATATTGTAGTCTATAAGTACAGAGCAATCCTTTTACATTTTAACTCAATATTAAATCCTTTTTAAATCTCTGGTTTCTTTCCAAATCCAGAAGAAGGATGCTTGCTTTGTTACAATCTTCACCTCTAGTATAATCTTAATAAGAAATACAAAAGACTCATTTACTCTGCCTAAAGGTTTTGATAAAGATATTTCTTTAAATGTGCTGCATGTTTATGCTAAAAATAGAGAAATTATAAGGACTTTTAAAGAATAATCTGTTTATTAATTGAATTACATTCTCAAATAATTAGAGATATGTAGTGAACAAATGAAGAAGACTAAGTTTTCACAAATGTTGCTCTTTCAGGATCAACATAATTGCAAAAGTCAACATGAAATTGACATTATTCTGTAGAAGTTACAACACTTTCTCTTTAAATACTCAGTCAATATTACCTGTTTTTGCTCTTAAGCAAAACATTGGGTGAAATGCTCACATTACCAGAAAAATCTGTTAATCTTTGGCAAGCAACAAACCATATTTAGTACTTGCATTTCCTGTTTTACAGATGTTTTATTAGCATGAATTAATAAAATATCTTATTACTATTTGAAGAGTATTTTACTTACAGTGAGAAAGCAGCAGATATGAACAGCTTTGATTTTAGTAATGCCTGTCTCCTTAAGCCTCTTAATTGTAGAGACTGTTGGTAAAAGTAATTAAGATTTACCAAAAGCGAATCAGGATATCATTGTTTAGGCACCTAAGAGGAAGAACAGGGTAAAATGAAACCAGAAATTAATAGTATTTCCACCATCAAATTAAAAATATTAAAAATGTTAGAAAATATATCACAGTTGAAATGATTCAAGTGCAACTATGGTTAGACTTTAGTAATTACCCTTTTATTCTTATTATTCTTTTTACCTGTGATCATATTTTCTATAAAAGTTTATATCCTGCTTTGAAAAACAATTTTTTTAAAGTAACCAACATTTTGATTTCTCCATTTATTATCATGTTAAAAATGCATAGCTTGAAAAAAATCTCAAACACACTGCATTGTAGAAAATATTAATAGCATATATAAAAGCAAATTAGGTGAGAATAACTAGGACATCAAGTTATTAAAATTATATGAATTGTATGATGGTTACTAGGGTGCCAGGCAGCAAAATATGTAATTATCTGATTATCTGATTTAATTCTGGTAGTCTGTCTCTACAGATACTTCAGCCAGAGAAGTATACTTTGGAGTTTGAATTGCCTGAATTTCTAGTTACCTTGATTTTATATAAATAAATGTAACACTTATAACTCTATACACACATATACGCATATGGAAATGTGTAAACATAGCATCAATACTCTTCAGCCAAGGAAGCCAGGAAGTCACCTGTAGTTGAACACGTTTGGTTTATTACTTGTTGCAGCGAGGGAGAACACACGTCACGGGAATCACGGGTGTTTCAGTAAGAGGGTGTTAGAAAGGACCTTATAGGATCTGGGCTTTGATTGGGTGATTTGAGGCAGAGTCAAAGGCAGCAGGGATTCCCTCTAGATTGGATGCTGTTAGAAAGCGGAGTAATTCTGTAATGGGGGATCTCACTTACTCTTGTAGGAAGGGGAAATTATAGTGAGAATAAAGTTGTCATTGGTAAAGAAGTAGCACTTATTTTGGCCAAGAGATAGGGTGTTTGGTATTTCGTGGGTGGTACAGTGACTTGCTTTTGTCTGTGCTTAGACAAAATTATGAATTGGCCTTGCTTGGTCTTATTTAATCATAGTCTCAAAATAGCCTGGTCAGAGGCTGGTTTTCTGTGAGATGGTTCATGTCTAATAGGAGAATCACAGGGTCTGCCTATGAGAGCCAGGCCAGCTTCTGGGTGTCAGGGGCTGCCCTTTTTCCTTTCTCAACAGCTTCAGTCATTCTTATCCTACAATGGGCAGAGCTCACAGGTTTATGTGTGCCTTTTTGTCACACTGCCAACTACAGTTCAATTTTAGTTGGGTTGGTTACGAGAGAACAGAAAGGGAATATTCTTCCCAGAAAGAATGATTCAGTGCTACTCATACTCCCTGGTCCCCTTTCTACATAGTTGATGCGCTTGAGAGCGAACTCTTCTCCCAATCTGATGCTTGAGGACTGTGGTGCTTTCTCTGTTGTCACTCGATGAGCATTTGATGGCAGGAAAACTTGGTAAAAGAGAACAACCATTTCTCCTGAGAAAAATGGTGATAAACATGGATTTTAATTTTAATTTTGTTTTGAAAGAAGCAATCTTACAGGTTTCTAATAATATAGAGGAGAAAATATTATTCCACTACCTTTGATACAATGTCTGCTCTAATTACCACTAAGCATTCCTAAAGGTTATTTGGCACTGACGTCTTCTCCTGTGCTCCACCCAGTTTTTCTTTTTTCTCTTTTTACTAAAAACCAAACATCTATCGTTTCCAGCATTTAGAAGAGTCGCAAATTTTCTATTCAGAGGTGTTAAAGTTGCTGCTCCCTTTTTATTGTTTGAAGAACAACCTGCTTGTCTCTTGTTAGAGTAACTAGTACAGACTAGCACTGCAAGTAATTCACAGACTATTTTATGATCAACTGGATATAATCAATTTGTTTTGATTTATAAAATTGGGACTACCACAAGCCACGACTGCCTAGCTATCTGCATAAATATTTACTCAAAAAATATTTGCTGAACACACGCTATGTTTCCATATTACTTTGTCCCGGGCATGGGGACACCAGGGAGGGAAGGAAGGTGAAGAGCTCAATCTCTGGAGTCCTAAGGCCTGGGTTGGAATTCCTGCTCAGCCACTTGCTAGTCATGTCATCATAGGCAGGTACTTGATCTCTCTCGACTCTACATTCTTCCTCTGTAAATGTGGGTGACTCAATAATACTTACCCCTAATGCTGTTGGAGGGCTGAAAGAGGTCATTTGCATTAACTGCTCAGTCCAGTGCTCAGCATAGTTAGTACTCAGTGAAGCCATTGTTATTTTTTGACAATATAGTGGTGAATTACTAGATGCTATTCTTCCCTCAAGGAACTGACTGGTTCCTCTAGCTGGTGAAATTGGAGGCATCTCACTTATTCTTGGGGAGGGTATTAGGAGGCAGGAAGAGAAGGCACTTAGTGAGACCTGATGGATCAGTGAAAGTTGTCCTGGCAGTGGTAAAGGGTAAGGGAGAAAGGAAGGAACGAGGCTTGTGGAGAACAGAACGGCCTCAGCATTGGGGACACAATACCAAGTGCTAGATGTGACAGAGGAGAGAACCACAGGCAGTTCCTTGTGGCCACACTGTGGACTGGATGGAGAGCGACGTAGGTAGTGGGAACTGTAGCTGGGGATTCCAGCCAGGACCGGATCTCAAGGGCCATGTGTTCAAAGTTTAGCACCTTAGACTTTACCTTGAAGACAATAGGGATCTGGAGTCAGTCTATCAGTAATGGTACCCTTTTCAAAAAGGTACTTACATAATTTTTTTTAATGATAAAGGAAATTATTTACAGAGAGGGCAGAGTTCATTGTTTTCTCATTCACAGAGTATAGTGACCATTACCCATATGAGCCTGGCCCTCTCATTTAATTTCTCCTGCCCCTCATTCCTTACCTATTCCTTTCTCCCATTCCTCTCCATATTAAAGACACCCATTTTTTGTTTGTTTTTTATTATTTTATTTAAGTCCCAGGGCAGATGTGCAGTATGTGTAAGTTTGTTACATAGGTAAACGTGTGCCATGGTGGTTTGCTTCACCTATCACCCCATCACCTAAGCATTAAGCTCAGCACGCATTAGCTCTTTTCCCTAATGATCTCCTCCCCTAACACCCTCCCCCTACAGGCTCCAGTGTGTGATGTTCCCCTCCCTGTGTCCATGTGTTCTCATTGTTCAGCTCCCACTTATAAGTGAGAACATACGGTGTTTGGTTTTCTGTGTCTGCATTTGTTTGCTGAGGATAATGGCTTTCAGCTTCATCCATGTCTCTGCAAAGGACATGATCTCATTCCTTTTTATGGCTGCATTGTATTCGTGGTGTATACGTACATTTTCTTTATCCAGTCTATCATTGATGGGCATTTGGGTTGATTCCATGTCTTCGCTATTGTGAATAGTGCTGCAATAAACATATACATGCATGTATCTTTATAATAAAATGATTTCTATTCCTTTAGGTATGTACCCAGTAATGGGATCGCTGGGTCAAATGGTATTTCCAGCTCTATATCTTTGAAGCATTACCACACTGTCTTCCACAATGGTTGAACTAATTTACATTCCCACCAACAGTGTAAAAGCGTTCCTATTTCTCCCCAGTCTTGCCAGCATTTGTTGTTTCTTGACTTTTTAATAACCACCATTCTGACTGCCATGAGATGGTATATAATTGTGGTTTTGATTTGCATTTCTCTAATGATCAGTGATGCTGAACTTTTTTCATGTTTGTTGGCCACATGTATGTAAAGACACCCATTTCTTTATGTGCTTGACATGGTCTTAAATACACATGTATCCTTGCAAAATACATCATGTTGTTCTTTATGCCTTTTAAATTTACCTACATAGTATTCTGCTAAAAATAATTTCCTGCATCTAAATTTTTTTCTTTAGATACAAAGCATCTGTTTGTGTATGTACATCAATCACTGTGTCAAACTTCTGTATACATGGCCCATATACAATACATATTGTAGCATTATTTATAATAACAGCTTGAAATAACCTAAATACTGCACACTAGGGAATGGATAACTAATCCTGGTACACCAGCAGTGTTAAATATCATGCCTCCATTAACAATGATAGCTCTCAATATGAAGGGGCACATGCTTCTGACAATGTTAAGTGAGAAGAGCAGACAAAATAGTCTAAATTGTGACAACAACCACAAAAATACACATTCATATAGCCAAGGGTTGGAAAAGATCAGAGAAAAATGAAACAGGTATGTATGTCTGAGCAACGGAATAATGGGTAACATTTCTCATGTACAGTAGCTCCCCCTATTCGAAGTTTCGCTTTCCAAGGTGTCAGTTACCCCCAGTCGACCTTGGTCCAAAAATATTACATGGAAAATTCCAGAAACAAACAATTCGTAAGTTTTAAATTGTTCAGTGTTCTGAGTGGTGTGAATTCTTGCACCATCCAGCTTCATCCTGCAAAGGACCTCAATTCTCCCTTCGCCCAGCGGATCCACACTGCAGAAGTCACTTATGAGTCACTGCAGAAGTCACTCCTCATGAGCCACTTAATAGCTGCAAGAGTAGTGATGCTGGCATATTGTGAAAATTGTTCTATTTTATTATTGTTGTTGTTAATCTCTTACTGGGCCTAATTTACAAATTAAACTTCATCATAGATATACATGCAAAGGAAAAAACAGTATATATAGGGTTTGGTACTATCTGCAGTTTTAGGCCTTCACTGGGGGTTTTGGATCCCATCCTGCAGGAATAATGTAGTGCTTCTGTAGGAATAATGGGGTGCTTCTGTAGCTGTTAGTAAGATGATGGTGTACCTGGGGATTTGCGCTATACACCACAGCATCTTCTACCGTAGTTTTGGGGAAGAGGGAAGATCAGAGCGGTACCAATCTGCTGCTCCTTGCCCCAAAACTGGCAAGAGGCGCCTTTCCTCAGCCAGAAAGGCCTCTTCTCCATCAGCTTTGTCCTGCAATCAACTGCAGCATATTTGTCTCACCCCATGGGAAACAGGTTTGAAGTTAAAAACCTTTTCAGAGGGCCGAGATAAATTTAGTGCTGCTAAATTTAACTACTTTCAAGATTAAACATGAAAAGCAAAGTGCATGAGTTATGTATATTATTCTTTCAATTGTGCAAAAATAAGACATTAACTCGTTTTTGCATGGAAAAATTCTGCAAGAATAGACAAGAAATGTTAACAGTTACCCCTGGGATCTGGGATAAAAGAGAGACGTCATGCTTTTCTTTAAAAAAAAAAAAAAAGAAAAAGAAAAGAAATTTAGGTTTTTGTGGATTTTGTGTGTGTGTTTTTTTTGACAGAGTCTAGCTCTGTAGCACAGGCCAGAGTGCAGTGGCGGGATCTCGGTTCACTGCAACCTCCATCTCCTGGGTTCAAGTGATCCTTGTGCCTCAGCCTCCCTACGTAGTAGTTGGGATTACAGATGTGCACCACCACACCCAACTAATTTTGTATTTTCAGTAGAGACGGGGTTTCACCATGTTGGTTAGGCTGGTCTCGAGCCCCTGACCTCAGGCGATCCGCCTGCCTCCGCCTCCCAAAGAGCTGGGATTACAGGCCTGAGCGTCTGCGCCTGGCCCATGCTTTTCTCTAAAGTATGAAAGGAATATGTACTTTCTTCTTAAAAACCATGTACCAAACATCACTTTTCAATTAAAATGTTATTTTTAAAAGTTTAAACCCCCAAATTTCATGGTTCTAACTTTTTAAATAAATGTCTAAATTTTTAACTCATTACAGCGTTCTCCAAAACAACAAATTCATATTCTGAGCCTAAAACTGTGCACCTCTTTTAGTGATGAGGACGGAGTCCAAATTGAGGACATCCCTTGTAACTCACCATGCACATATATTCTGACATCAATAGCAACATAGAATGCAACTGATGACCAATATATATTCACAAATAATTGAGGACCATGCCTAAGAGTTGGATTCGGATTCCGATGTGACTGCTAATGTCCCTAACACGGACTAGCTCCAGGAGAGTCCCCCGGCCCTGGGGGTGTGGTAGGGGTCACCCGTTGTCCGGACCCACACCACGCAGACCCAGTCCTAGCTCGCTCGCTAGACCACGGAGGGCCACTGGGTGCAGCGACAGAGCGCGGGGCCCCGACGACCCCGCCCCGCGCCGCGTCACTCGGCGCCCTGCGGCGCGCTGTGAGCACCTACCACTAGCGGAGCTGCGAGGGAGAGGCCGCGGCCCCTTCCAGTTGCCGGCGGCCCCGCGCTGGCATTCAGAGCCCCTCGCCTGGCGCTAAATTTAAAAACGTAACACCAGCAGCAGGCTGGTCCCGGAAGCGAAACGAAACTCGGCCCCCGGGCCTCCTCCCGGGCGCTGCCGGTCCCTCAGCGCGCCGCGCCACCCGGAACAGACCCTTCTTCCGCCATTTTCGGCGGGGCTGGGAGACTGAGGCCCGCAGCGCTGGGCCTGCGGCGCCCCGGAAGAGGCGGGCGGCATGGCCGCCGGCGTGGACTGCAGGGACAGGGTTGGCGCCCGGCAGCACGTGTTCCTGGTTCCAGGTAAACACGCGCGCCTGGGCGGCGGGGACTGCCCAAGAGCTGGTGAAGCGGCACGCCACCCCGGGCGCGCTGCCCCCCACCGCGGCAGCTCCCATTCCCCGGCCTGGCGCGGGATGGGATTCTCTCTGGGACAGCTAGCCCCTCATCTTGGTCACACGTCATAGCAAACCGCGGTTTTCAAACCCGGAAGCGCCGAAAAGGACCGAGCGTGTTTCCTGGGCCCTGATCCCCCATAGCTCGGGTGGGCGGGTGGAAGCCGACTCAGCCTGCGGGGAGCCACGCGGGTTCGGGGTCATCGGTGCGCTGCGGGCCCCGGAGGTTTCTGCCCTTGGTGTCCCCCACCTGGCAGCTGGCCCGGCTTCTGTGATCCTACTGGGTTGGAACCAGGGATCCAGTAGGCTCGAAGTGGCCCCAGACGGTGCGCCGTTTTAACAAGAAAGCAGAGGGACAGGCCTGCGGTGGCGAGGCAGGAGGGAAGCGGGATGGGAGTCGCCGTTAGGCCAAGGGTGGTTCAAAGCGACTCAGCAGGATAATGACCACAGGAGTGCTGGAGCCGGGCCTTTCAGCCCCCGTGTGGATGATGACCGGCCATCCAGGACATGCGAGGGCTTGGGACAATGGACAGCCAGTGCCACACAAGGAAGGATCGATTAAATGACACAGTTAAAGGAATTTGGACTACGGAATGCAAGCCAGAAAGTTTTGGTCTTTTTATATATGTATAACATTGGAAAAAAGGAAAATCTCCTGTTCCGTGTATTAAATTTTGAGTTTAGCTCAGCAAATGCAGCGTGTTCGTTGCATAAATATAGTCTGATACCAATATTCTTTCCCAGGAATTCAGTTTTATGATGGTTATTGAAAATGTTTACATGACAGGCTGTGAAGAATATTTTTTGCCTCTAAAAAAACATATATAAAGTGTACGAATTTTACGTGTACAACTCATTGAACTTTTCATACGTATACATCACCCTAGTAACCATCCCCCAGTTCGAGATGTAGACTGTTTCCAATAGGTCCTTATGCCTATTCTTAGATAGCCCCAGGAACCTCTATGCTGACCTCTGTCACCAGAGGTTAGTTTTGCCTGTTTGGATAAGAGTGTACCCGTTTGTGTCTGGCTTCTTTCACGCTGAAAGATTCATCCATGGTTTGTGAAATTCATTCATATTGTAGCAGTTGTTTGGTTGGTTAGTTTTTTCATTGCTACTTCTGTTTAATTGTATGAATATCTAAACTATCTGCCCTACTGTGGATGAACATTTAAATTGTTTCCAGTTTGCAACTATTACAAGTTACACTTCTCAGAGCATTCCTTTAGGCGGCTTTTGGTAGACATAGGCATTCATATCTCCAGGGTGTATGCCCTGGAGTGGAATGGCTGGTTCTAAGTATTTGTGTGTAGAGCTGTAGTTGGCACTGTTAAATGGTTTTCCAAAGTGGTTATACTGATTTATATTCCCACAAGCAGTGTATGAGAATTCCCATTGCTGCACATCTTCAGTAAAGACGTTTGGGTGGTAAAACAGCCAATGCAAAATTCAGAATTTTGACAATCTCGCAAAGGACTACCCGTATACATGCTTTTCATTAGAAAAATCATCCTTCTCACTTTGTCACTTCAAGACAATTAGATTTTCAGGGTAGGAACTCTAACCATTCTTTCAGAATCAAGTGCATTATTATTATTCAGATATACACAATAGCTGATGATAATTTGAGCTTCTTATTTTGTTCTGTTTAATCAGTATTGACATCGTCGTTTTAAAAGTGTGTTTGTGTCCTTATTGTATTAAACACAAAACCCTCAAAAGAATTAAATATTGATTGTATCCCTGAAAAATGTAGGTTTTAATATATCTACTGCTGGGTTGTGAGAAGAGTTTCTGTTGAGTTTCTGGTCAAAGCTGAGATCTACTGTGACCTTTTAAGGCATTGGCGGAGGCTGAGCAGCTGTTGGGAACTGCTAGAAAGAGCTGTGTGGTCAGGCGGGCAGGAACTCTTAACAGTTAAAAACTTGGGCTGCCAGCTCCTGCAATTCTTCCTTCTGGCCTTTAGTGCCACCTGCAGGCTCTGAGGGTACAACACGGTTTGATAGCGACTGCAGTGCAACAGTAGTTCTCAAACTTGAAGGCATCACTCACCTAGGGAGGTGGGCCTCAGCCCCCACAGGTTCTGGTTTAGTAGGTCCTGGGCTGGGGCCAGAGAATGTGCATTGGTAACAAGTTCCCAGGAGATGTTGATGCTGCTTGTCTGGAAATCTCGGCCCCACCCCAGGAACCACTGCAGTAAAGACTTTGGGAACTAGATTGGGATATAGGAATGACCAGCCTCATGTTTGGCCCTGTTTGTGGTGGGCCAGAATTTAAATGGTCAAGGAAGTGCATGTAAGTGCAGAGTATGAGGTTCATCTTCCCAGTTGTCTTTTCCAGAAGGTGAGAAATCAGCCTGCTTAGTTACACATTTGGGAGTTGGAAACGATATGCCCTCGGCTGAGGGAGCACCATACCCCAGTAAAGTTGGGCCCTTAATAAAGAAACCAAAGATTATGAAACATTTTTCAAAAGTATTTGGTGGAGGCGGCCTGTATTCGGTTTTAGAAAACTTGGGATCTGAAGAACTTACCCTGTGTACTGAAAAGTGAGCACATGAACCCACAGGCCGACAGAACTTTAAAGGGATTTATCCATGAGACAAGGGTAAAGCTGCCTAACCTTGCAATGATACATTTTTTCAACATTTAATTCATGCTGTTCATCGAGTTGCCTGCCACAGCACTGTGTTATATCTTGAAGGATATATTTAAATGTTTGGTTTAGGTATTTTTGCCTCTAGTTTTCCATTTGTTTGGAGAAGCTGACTATCCCAGATAAACAAATCTGGGACTTGGAAGAGATACTTGTGAGATATTCAGACTTGGGACGTTGGTTTTCATAGGCTGGTGAAGACAGAACCGTTTCCCATTTCAGCAAAGGCAAGCATTTCTTTTAGTTGGGGTTGTCTTAAATGTTTCTGTAAAATGGCCTGGGAATACTACCCTGTTTGCAGTTTTAATTTCTATAAGAGACCATTAACTTCTTTACTTTTTGGAAAGTAGTATAAATTTCTATCCCTCTTTTTCTGCCCTAAAAGTAAATGTTTGAGTCATATTTTTAATATTTTTCTTAAGTCCATTTTTCTTGTTAATGCTAGTAAGTTGGGATGTACCCAGGTGTGAGAGGTCACCTGATTCACTGTGTATAGAAGACTGCATTTATTGCTATTGGGGGCTGAACAATTAATTGGGTTCACCTCCAAGGAATTGTTAATTGGGAAACCCTAACATTGTGTATGGAAAAAAAAAAAGAAGAAAAATCATTTCAGGCCTATTAAAACAAAACTCATTTGGGTTTACTTAGGCTGATTACAATGTTCCTTAATCAGCTCCCTGATTAAACAGTCCTGAGGTGAAACTGGACCTCAACTCAGATTTTCAGTTAGAAACAAGTTTTGCAATAAAGTTATCCCCCTTTATTTCATGAATATATATGTTAAAAAGTATTTTAGGAAAGATCGCACTTATTATTTATTTCCCCACAGAAAGCAGTTTCTTGGAGGTAGAGGATGGGTTGCTTTTTTGGGAGATAAGAATCACTGTCTACCTTAGACATTTCAAATACAGTAACAGCTTTTTATGTGAGGCATCATGATAATCACAAATGATTATGCCAGAGCTGTCTCTCCAAGTGGAATGCAAAAATAGATGTGGAAGGATTGTATAAATTCGTGCATTAGAACTCTGTTCTAATTAAAGGATTTAAAAAATAAATTTAAAAGGAAAAACTAATTTTCTTAATGATGGAGAAAAATTTATTTCTGATTATAGTCTTGAAGCTTTTTTTTTTTTTTTTTTTTTTTTTAAATCCACCAACTGGCATAATTGTAGCTTTTTATAAGTCCAAAGAAATGCCCTTTGTTTTGGGGGAGAAAAAAAAGTAAAGGTTTAAAGTGTATGGCAAAGGAAGAACTACTATAGATTTAATTGACTTTTCAGTGACACTAAAAAAACACACTTTTCTCTTTTTTACCTAATGGCACATGGTTAATCTCAGAAGAAAAACTTAGCAGGATTTTTGTTCTTTGTCAAAACGGTATGTATGTATATGTTTGTGTTTAGAAATACACCTGAGGGCCAAAAGCTTCCTTATTTTCAGAAGAGATGAACTTCACTTGGCAAATGATAGAGAACCTGGCCAGTTCAAGTGCTGATTTTAGACAACCTCAGAATAGTTAAGCTCACCTTTTTGGAAGATGTGTCATTTACCGAATAGTCTACTGCAGGCAGTCAGCAATGCAGGAGTCTCAGAGTTTTCCAGCATAGAGCATGTTTAACATTTTCCACACGAATCCTCAGTCTGGTTTTGTTTTTGCAAAATGTTTTTTGGTGGAACCCAACTGACCTTTCTCAGATGGCCACTGGATCCGCCCCCCTTGCTATCTATCTGAGCACGTTCTGAAGTGGATGGACTTCAGTTGCCAGTTGGTGTAATCAGGCTGTTTCCAGGGTCTGATCTTGTCCCTTTAGTAATTGTTCCAAAATACTTGGGATATTTATGAGTAAGAACTCATGACTCCCACATATTTATTCTCCAGGTCAGAAAAAAATATATTCATTAAAGGAAAGCAAGCAGCGTTCATGATTTTTTATTTGAGTAACAGAATAGGGACTGCATGGATTCTCCCACATCCTCTGAGCTTTAACTGTGATGCTAAAAAACAAACAACTC